TACTCGCAGTTCCCTCTTTTGGGAATAGATCTATATGATTTTTGAGAAGTCCACGAAAAAGAAACTAATGTGGAACACAATGGAAAATAGCACTAACCATTTCTTGTATTTATAATGATATATATGTATCTATTTCTGAACAATCATTGTAAATTCAGAACCCTGGAAAATCTAGTTCTGTGTGCAAAACAATAGATATCAGGTATGTGGAAAAGCATTGAAGTAATCTAAAAATGTAAATAAGTAGGTAAAATCTGATTGTTTTTTTCAATTTAAGAACGAAACTGATTTCTCTTTTCTCGTAGCCTTTGTTTAGTGGGGTTTAGTCTATCACCCACATATCAAGTAAGCCTAATCCGCTCCACGAAAATACGCTTTTGACAGCGCACTTCCTCGACTTAATCCACTGTGATTCACCGAGGATGGGGAAACGAACCGAAGACTGGTCGGATGGCTGGCTGTTAAGGCCTCTTTATATGCGCACCTTAAAAAACAACAAGATGCTTAATGCTGTTTTCTGATTTTTCGTTGATCTTTTTTTGCATTGCCCCGTGAACGGGGCACACTTATTGCCACGCAGTCGAAGATACAACACACACAGTCACCCAGAGATACGGATACAGATGCAGGGGGCATAGGCTCGAAACCGGAGTTTGAGCGGCGATTGGGGTTGGAGTTTTAGCATGAGCTCCAAGATTGCACTGAGACCAAAATGCAGTGCAATTATATAGCCAAAACAACATACTGAGGTGTATTTATAAGTATAAGTATTTAAACTAATAGTATTCCCATGTCTTACATCAATTATGGTGTTTAATTATCTAACAAGTATGCGTTGAACTCTAAATAAAAGTGCTCTCATTTAATCTTTTCAGCAATTTCAATAATTTATTTATTTTAAAATAGATAAAAAAGATATGCCTAACATATTTTTATCCTCCAAATCATATGAGGGTTGCAAGGTATAAAATTTTTGTTTATTCATAAATTGGACTGAAACCAAAATCTTTTGAAAGTATCTAGCAATTCTGTGGAAACTATCAACTTAAACAAAGACCCCAATGTTTTTCTCTGTTTAAGTTGGATTTGCTTTGATTTTTTCCACTGATTTTTCGTTTTTTTTAAGGCACAGCCAGAGCCACGAAGCGAACTGAGTAAAAACATGTTTGGATTTAATTCTTTTTATTTATTTTCACCGTCGACGTTTTTTGTTTTTTTCCGTACCATGTTGCTTTCTTTCGTTGCTTTTTGGACATGTATCCGAAAGATACTTTTTGTTGTTGCCTGTGTGTGCCACGATGATGACGCTGACAAAGGTCTGCCCGCCCCACAGCCCCCGTGGCCGTACGCGATTTTAATGAAGCACTTAAAAAGCATAAATGAAAATAAAAACCCAACAAAGGCAGCAGACAGCAGATAGCCCCAGCTCCATGGTCCGTGGTCCATGGTCCCTGCCGATCCGCAGAACGACAATTGATGTGGAGCCTGGGTCTGTGCCTGGGTCTGGACCTCAATCTGGAACCTGGAACCTGGAACCCGGGACCTAGCAGCCCTTCTATCTGCCTGCAGTTGATGTGAGGCCGACCCGGGCTGAATCCATCCTCAGATACATTACTTTTTACTGTCGAAGTTTGTCCACAGGCATTGACAGTGCACAGAATTATGGACACAGTGGAACTTGCAAAGAAGTAAGAAAGAAATCAAATAAAACAAATAATAATAGGTTAAGTAAAAGACCTATTGTTCAGTTTTGGACCTTTATAAGATCATAAGGCACATTGTTTACGCCAGGAAAGCAAAACGTCTACAATTTTTGATTGCTCGTATACTGAACCTCCAAAATTTATTTACTTAGTTTTACAACTTTTTAGAATCTGTAGATAATCTTACAAACTTAAAGTAAAATGTTATATTTCCTGAAAGTTAAGATAGATTAAGTAAATAGATTAGACCTTCTTTATCATATTTTATGTATCAATTATTTTTCTTTTATATTTGGATTGTCCACACAAGCCTGGCTTCACTGTACTGACAAGTACTTCTTCCCTGACTGCGACTCAAATTAATTCTAATCTAGCAAATTACGGTGGACCATTTATGCTGCCATAAAAATTAAAGACGTCGACCCCTCCCTCTCCCTCCCATTTTGGCCGATAAGAAAGTGCGTGTGCGTTCATTATGCGGCTCGGTGAGGGGGAATTTCATAGTTACGCATCTCACAGATACATTTACGGATTCAGGGCCGTAAAGATATCTCGCAACAGTAGCCAATAAAACGGGGGACATTAAAAACATTAACAGCCGCATTACAGATGCACGGGGATGTGGCACAGTGGAGTGGCCATCTCGGATTGATAGAGTCGCCATTGACAATTGCCATAGTCGTTGAATAATTAAGCGGGGGCACGGATAAGTGGCTCATCCCCCATCCGACCCCAATTCACTACTAAATTATGCTGGCAAATAGGCCCCATTTCGTACAGTCACATCATATCCTGGGCAAATGGCACTAATCGAATTGATTCTTGAGTGACTTTCATCTTAGATGTCGTTTGATGGTCGCCATCGTCGGATAATTCTGCGTACTATGTGTGTGCGTTTAGAGCCATTCCAATTTTTTATGGCACCTCTTAATCGCTATGTGGGTTTTTTTCTCGTATGATAGCTAAGGCATCTAATTGGTGTCTTAAAACGAACTGTGTACAAACATTTGGTACTTAAACTAATATTAATGTCTATCCCATAAAAAGTGAGAATTAATGTTCTTTTGTTTTCGTTATTATTTTAGCATCATAGTAAAATTGTATTTTCTTTATGATTTATGCGGGAAGTGTATTTCAATCTTTGTATCTTATCCTGCATAGAGAGTATTCTGATTTTCTCATCTGAGTTCAGAATGTTCTTAAAAATAGAACAACTTTTTTGAAGGTGAAAATTTTTTCATTGTGCTTAAGTCAAGATGAATTGGCGATACTTACTTTGTATATCTCAACAACTAAACTATTTGTCCAGTCAGTAGTGTATACTTATTGGAAATATGTCTATGACTTAATTTACGTTTTCTCTTCTCACCATTTCCTTCTAATATTGAGATAATTGATACCAAAATGTACTTACACAGTTTTTAAGAACGAATGTTCTCAAATCAAGAACAATGTACTTGAATATTTCCCTCTGTGTGGGATTATTTTATAATTTTAATTATTATATTACTATCTATATTAATTTTTTGTACCCATACTAAGCCCGAGCTTAAAATCTGTCGGCTATTATAATTCTTGTATTAATTTCTATATTTCCATTCTGTACCTATCTTATATCTTTCTAGTTCCCAAAATCATTTCTACATAAATAAATATGCATTTATGTGATAGGTCAGTAACTCTTTACTCAACTTTGAGGCAATGATCCAATAAAGTGTTGCACACACTAAATTCAAACTTTCTCCCCGCTCTTTTATTTGTGAATTTTGAAATCGCTGTAATGGGCACTCTTTGGTTTATTTTAAGTTACACAAATCCGCTCCCGAACGCAAACACCCCACTATGTAAATAGTTGACCACCTCTGATTTATGCCGAATCTTGTTTGTTTTGCAGTCTCGTTCTCGCCCGCTGAATGTGGATATCTGCGAGGGGGTGGGGGTGGGGGGATGATGAGGTAAGTGGTGTGGCAAGGCGTGGGGTGGGTGGCTGGTGGTTGGGTGCGGGTGGTGCGGCATCGGGGTCTGGGGCACTGAGTAAATGAACGCTGCGCCTACGAAACGCTACCAACACCAATGCGTTCGGTATGCGTGTGTGGGCGGCTGTGCGAGTGTGCGTGCTGCAATTGTGTGCAGTTGTAGTTGCGGGTTCATTGCACGTACACTCGCACAAACACACGCACAGCGCCCAAAACGGCCAACGACGAACCGACCAAGCGACCGAACGACCCACCCACCAGTGATGGCGCTTTTGCACAAAACCAACTAAATCTGGCGAAAAAATGGCTAAAAAAACCATATTACAATGAATGGAATGCAATGCATTGCAATGATTCAAGATGGTGGACTATTTTTCATAGCATACTTCAAGGCACATTACTAAGTGATTTCAAAAGTATATAAGGTTTTATGAAACCATCTATAACGAGTTTAAAGCGTACGCTTTATATATATTTACAATAATTTATATTTATTTTCATTTTTTCTACACAAATTGTTCAAACATCCGTGGGACTTAAGTTTTAGATATTTTTACAAAAACTATTATTAAATAAATTTTACTTTTCTTCTATAATAACACATTGTAAATAGCTTTTTTCTATTTTCTAATTATTTCCTTGAGTGGATAAAGCGGATACTAGATCAACCCAGCTCCATCAATTGTATTGCCTAGTTTACGGCGCAACATTACAAAGGGGAAATCTTTAGGTTTATTCAATTCTTTGGCAGCTAATTACATTTCGGAAACAACGTAGAAAGACTGTAAGACTAATTAATATGTCTCATAATTGGCAGAAAAACATACAACTCTTCATAAATCTTTATAAAGCACCCAGTATGGTTTATTGTACGAAAGTACTGTTAACAACAATTGGTTTATATAACAAACTTATTTCAAATTATAAAATAAAATGGTTTTGATAATCAAATTGAAATAAGCTCTGGAAAGTTTATAAACAAATTTGCAATCACTATTAGGTCGGATCAGTTTGTACATGGTTGCAGGACTAATCCCCGTTGCAGCTCCAAAAATCCTAGCCAGATGTGACATTACTGCCGAATGTGCATTACTGAGCCACCTCCGACGCGTCCCACTGTCCGTCGGCTGCTTCGTCACTTTGTTGCGTGTTCGTGCTGCAGTTGTTGCTCGCCCTGGTTGTAGTTGTTGCAGTTGTCGTTGTTGCTTTGCTGCTGGGTCTCCGGTTTAGACAGCCGGGCTTCGGACTCCGGGTCTCCGTCTCCTGCCTCCCTCTCTCATTCGCCCCACTGCCCCTCCCCCACTCCCTCCGGCCCCATCACCACCTCTCGACTTCGGTCATCGTGGATTTCTCTGCTCTCCTGCATTTTGCTCTGCACTCTTCACTGCTCTTTTGTTTCGCTTTTCGCTGCTTCTAATGCTCGCCCCCACTTCCCCCCTCCCCCGTCCAACACTTTTCGGTGGCTCCAAGTTAGAGCGAGTGAAAGAGAAGGAGAGAGAGAGGCCCCCAATGAGTGAGAGGTAGCTTGTTTATCGTTGCCTTTCTTTTGGGCAGTCAGCCCGTTGCTTTTTTTCCTCCTCCTTCTTCTTCTTCTTCTCCTTTCTGTGCTTTTCTTCTCTGTTGTTTTTCGGTTTTTGCAGCTCTGAGCTTCGCTGCTGCTGCGACGTGTTGTTGCCTTTTGTCTGTCTCCTCTTTGGTCTTGTTGCTTTTGTCTGCTTTGCTTTTTCGCCCAGCCATCTTACACACTCGCACACTCACCCATACACACCTACAAGCGGAGACTTTTGTATGTAAAACTGACGTCGTCGCTGCTGCCTCTTCTTGTTGTTGTCTTCTTTCTTTTTTCAGCTTTATTTTTTTGCACATTCTCCCTGTTCTCTCTTCTCGCCTGCATTTTGTGTATCTCATCTCGTGTACGCTTTCGCTGCCTTTCCAATCTCTTCGGCATCGGGGCAACAACAACGCCAACGAAAAGCTGGCGTCGCCGTCGCCGTCATCGTTTTCTCTATTTTCCTCAATCGCTGTGCCTTTTCATTTTCAATTCGCATATTTTTGCAAACTCTACTTTCAGTTATTCGCCGATAATTGATGTCAAAGGACGCAGTTGTGCTCCGCCGGCGTTGTTTCACGTTGCCATTGGAAGCACCGTTGCCCCGGTATCGTTCAGTGCCAGTGTGACCAGTTCTCCGGTGTGACCATGCCTAAGGAGGATCCGTTCGTGAATCGCGCCCAGCTCCTGAAGGCGATCAAGAAGTATCCGGAGATCTGGGACTCCAACAACAAGCTGCACATGTGCCGCAGCGTCACATCGCCGATGTGGACGGAGATCGCCGAGCAGTTCGGCGGTCATGTGCCGACAGGTGAGTGCGACAAGGATGTCGGTCTCTTTTTGCTAAAACCCCCCTCACACTCTGCGCCACTGACCCAGTCGCCCACTCGCAACCGGTGGCGACTTGTATTTGTTGCTGACTTTCGCGCTCTCCTTTCGCGTTCTCTTTTAGTGCGCGTTCAGTGGCGCAGTCGGGAGCTTTTCTGAAGGGGTTAAACTCACAAACGAACAGATTTATAAAAAAAATTTTATAAGGACTGACCTTCATAAATAAAATCAAATATTTTTGATCTTACTGCTTCGGTTTTAACCATGTTTAAAAACCTTTTTTTTTTTTGTAATAATTTTTTTAAACAATTCGAATGTAATCCTAGGTGGTCTTGAAACTCTGGTCTTCTTTTATTCCTACGTACGTCACTGTGCTAGGTCTTAAAATAGCCAAAGGGCACTTTTGGTTGGGACTGGAGGTCTCCGTCCGTTTGGAATAATAGAAGAGTCTACACCACTATATAATGCAAATTGAAGCAGTCGCACCAGAAATAATTGACGGGTGTAATGTACTTTGATAAATGCAATTAGGTGGCTCAATACAAGCTTAATTAGCTTTACTTAACCACTAGATGTTGTAATATTCATGGATGAAATGACTAACCTTGCCCTAGAACAGCATTATAGTAAAAGTCCTCTATATAATGGTTATAAAAGCGATAACTAACCAAAAAATGTTTGAAATTCATTTGAAAATTAATATTTAAACCTGATTGGTTTAGTTTATAGGTAGTAACAATTAACGGGTTGTTTTAATCCCTTGAATATATTTTTCTTTATATCTTAATATAAATATACCTTGTTACAATAACCAGTTAAGCTGCAATCGATCTGGAGCCAGATGAAGTACCACTACCACAACTTGGTCCACCGCCAGATCCTGCACAAGGATCGCTTCAATACCAAGTGGGAGCACTTCGAGCCGATGTCCTTCATGTACAACATAACGGTGGCCAAGATCGTGGGCGCCCAGTCAAGTGGCGGTGGTGGGGGTGCCTCCTCGGAAGTCCCACCCACAGCCCCTGAACCGCCACCCGTGGGGGAGGAACCTGCTGGGCCAGTGCCGCCACCCCCCTTGCCCACCACCTCCCATGGTCGCGGACGTCCCAGCGGTAGTTTCAGCTGGCTGGAGACTGCTACCACTCCCACCACCCCCCAGCTGCCGCATCTCATTGCTCAGCCGCCCCATGGTCAGGGTCACGGAATGACCTATACCGCTTTCACGGGGCTGGTGCCGCCGCCAGCTGCTGTGGTGTCGGAGGCAGTGGCCACGCCCCCACGGAAATTGGGCCGCCCCAGTTCGTTGCACAACAGTATGCGGGGACGTATCATCGATGCCATCAAAACGCGTCCGTCACTTTGGGCGGGACGCCAGCGGAGCGAGAAGGGACAGGGCCAGAGCAGAACTTCAGCCGTTTGGAAGGAGGCGGCCATCGAGATGGGACTCACCCCGAGTAAGTAGTAGATTAAAATGTTGTATCTTAAAAAATATTTATTATTTAAAACTTTATTATATTCAGTAATTGTCTCTATCACTTTTCATGCTCTTTTGCTTCAAACAACCCTTCGATTTTCCGCACCGTTCATAATATCCCTAATTGAACTTTATCATATGATTCAAGGATGTAATACTTATTTTAAAAAAAGTTATCTTTGAAAGCTTAAGCACAGAATTTGTACTTCTTATAAAATGTAAACCCCTATTTAATTTTTAAAGCATATCCAATTCTCCCAATCTCTTTTATTTTCCTGCAGCTCTTATGCAGACGCGGTGGTCGATCATCAAGCAGCGCTATGTGGATGAACTGCAAAAGGAGCGCCACGCCCAGTACTCCCACCAGGGCTTCCGATCCACGTGGGAGCACTTCGATCGGATGAACTTCATGCGCGACATCCTGCTGAAGAAGGTCGACGAGCGGGAGCAGACCCGCGAACAGATCCAGGAGATCGTCAGTGAGCAGCAGCACCACCAGCAGCCGCAGCACCACCCGGCGCAGCACTTGCAACACTACCGTCCACCACCGCCGCCAGCAGGATTGGTGGAGCACGCCCAGGACATGCCCATCGGTTTGGTGCAGCACCACCAGCAGGAAGGACACCACCCGCCGTTGCCCATGCACCACCCCCACCATCCACAGGCCATAAGGCGGCGCGTCAAGCACGAATCCGATCTCGAGTGGGATCCCTTTGAGATGATCCTTCACGTCCATGGCGCAGGCGAGCCGGCTGCCAACTGAAGACTGAGAAAATAAGGACTGTCAAGCTCTAGGCACACCTGAGGAAAACTTTAGAAGGCGAGAGATCTGCACAGATTATTTCTTAACGTCTCTGATAAATACTAAATTTGTAGGTCAAGCTTTTCAATATAATTGAAGAAAATTTACTCTGATAGAGATGGAAATATTTAATTGCTTATCGAACTTTGTTTTTTTTTTCGATTCATACCACCTTATATTGTTTAGAATGAACTCGTTCCATTTAGGCTTCTTCTCAGGTGCAATTAAAGTGGGACCTACAATGTCCTTAAAATAATCGTCAGATGTAAAACCCTTAGCTACACCGCATGCCCACATCTATTGTAAAACCTTTTTGTAATTCCATTTTCTACTACTCTGCAATTGAATAAAACATCACTTAGCGATATTAAACTCAAGAGGTTTATGGTTGGGGGTACTAAAACTAAAGTAAAAATGAAGTTGGGAGATAGAAATTTAACAATTTTTAAATATCACTCTTGGCATAATATTTTAAAGTACTCAAGCAAACCTTAGATAGAATTTCAACTTTTTAGGGGGTTTGTCTTCTTGAATTGACATTAAATTAGGGATACTGTAATTGATACCTTTCTGGTTTTATTACCGGGAACACATTTCACCAATATCGATTCCCACGAAAGTGCGATTGATATATTTGAAAGGAAAGAGATTTATTCCACGTGAAGTGCTTCGCACTCAATCAATTTCGATAATCGTGATGCGATGCGACGGATTGGATATTCGAGAACGCCCCGAGAGCGAAAACTAAATTATGCTAATTCTCGCAGTGTGTGCAACATTTGTCGATTGCCAAAATGGCAAACATGTTCCACACACACAAGCACTCACACTCTCTTTTTGGAAAACCTCTATACCTATCTCCATCCATACCACATTTTGTGGATTTGTGTAAATTTCTGGCTGAGGGCCAAGGGCGGAACACGCGTAATTCCAATCACGTGCCAGCCCAGAAAAGAAAAGTTCTCGAACTGTAAAACGTTTATCAAAATGTAACCCCCTCCCGACCGTCCGCCAAAAGCCGCCCACATAATTGGCCAAAAGGATACAGCCCCATACCCAATTTTTTTTTAAAAACCCCAACCCCCCTTTCCGCAGACTCCGACAATATCTTCAATAATAAATGCATTTCACTGTCGAATTTGCCGCATTCTGCACAACACACGTGCCTTAAATAATTCACGTCGCATTTAGCGGCGTTTTTGCCAAGCCTCTAATGGGCCCAGCGATTTGTAGGGGGCGTGGCGGGGGCGGTGCTGCAAAGGGGGGCGTGGCACGCCGCCAGGTAAAGTGGAAAGTAGTTGGCTACGTTTTACGTTCTAGTTCGAGGCGAAAATTTGCCTAAAAACTCAAGTAGTTTGTTCAAACTTTTATGCTCCGTGCATTTATCAACGCCAGCCAGGCGGGAAAGGGGGTTGGGGGAGGAAAAGGGGTGGAAAAACCGGGGGGTAAACCCATCCAGGAGTCCATGAAGCGCAGCAGCCCGGAGCAACAGCGCTGCCGTGTAAAAGTTTCCACACAGCCGTGGGTGGGTTAGATGATGGAGCGTTATTTAAATGGTTTTCGGATGCGTACGTGCGAAAATGTTAGTAATAAGCCAGGTGCCAGAAACCAGGAGCCATTACTGTGATATCACTGGATAGGAGAAATGCCAGCGATTTGTTGGCTCCCAAGGATTTAGGGAAACGTCCTTGGAAGGAATTTCAGCTTTTGAAAATCGTTTGTCCAAGAAATCAGTAGTATTATGCAAATAATCCGTTTCTTCTAAGCTATGCAAAACCTAAAGATACAAGCATTCTTCTTTGTTAAGAGGGATCTCTGATAATCTGGTTTTTAGGCTCGATTTTCACTACAATCTTAATTACATTTTTTACTTTCATATATTGATTCATCGTTGTTTTAAAAATGTACAGATGTATATTTTTTAAGCATTGTAAACCATTTATAGCTTTAGTAAGTTGAAAATATATCTCTTATCATTGCTTTAAGTATTTCATTAGAAACCTAAATATCGCTCATTATTTTACTAGGAACTACTTAATGTTTTTATAATGCTATGGAAATGGCCCAATGGGACTTTTTTAACAATTTATTATTCCCTTGGACTTGAGATTGCAATTTTTCACTTAACTGATGGTACTTCTGTTGTACAACTCAAAGCGTCAAAGGAAATAACCAACGTTGCAAAGCAAATAAAAAAGTGTGATTAAAGATTAATGAGTTATTCAAAATATATATGATTTTTACATACATTTACAAAAACGTAAAAATAATAATAACAATGAAATATATTGGTCTTTCAATTTTTTTGCAGAGATCCTAAGTTGTGGTCGGTTCCTTTTAGAGATCACTTCAAATTTGAAAAACCTTTGCACTACTTACTCGTACTAATATTTTCGCATGGGGTCGGTGTAATGGCTTTCGAGTGGAACGTGAGCCGGGAAAACTTCGCTTTCCTAAATGCTCGGTAGGTGATTTCTTTCCGCAGGAAGTACGCATACACACGCACTTAACACATACACACTCAAATCATTTTCCACGCCCACTCGCCCCGCCCACGCTAACACACACACACACACATGATAAGAATGCTTATGTGAATTATCGCACATTTTACGGCATCGAAAAAAGGGGTTTCCAGGGGGACTTTGTAACGGGAAAGAACTAGAAAACTTGTCTAAAAGTGCGCACTCCACTCATATATATTTAGGTATACATATCTCCAAGGCGGACACGCCGACAGTAGCGCATAAAAACTTTTAAATTTACTTTTGCTAAGAGTTTTCCCCGCCCCCTAACCAGCCACGCCCCTCCATGCCCATGCATATTCATTTCAAAATCCACACACATACACATGGCCAAGTTTTCTTGGAAAAGTTCCTTTACCCCTTTCCGCCCCCTCAGAAAAATCAACGAACTGTGAGAGAGGCAAACAAAAAAAGTTTTGGGCAAAAGGTGGGCAAGGGTTTCTGGGGTTACCGGGGCGCCAACGGGGGATTTTCCGGATACGGATCCGGAGCGGCATCGCTTAATAGAGCTGCCAAAATTTGTGTGCCTCAGGTTGCGTCGCTTGTCGGCAGACGCCGCGTTACAAGCGCTCCAAATTGCTCACTTCTCGAGGCGCTCCGCTTCCCTCTGGCCTCCCGTAATACCCCCTTAATTTCCCGTCCAAAGCCCCCTTTTTAAAGCCCTGCCACCGAAATCCCAGCCAATTCCCCCGACTGCCAAGCAACTATGATGTTGCTGTCTTCCCATTTTTGCCAACTTGTCTATTTTTCGGTCTTGCCACAGTGGAAATGTTTTAAACTTTACTCGGCACAAATTTTGGAATCGATCGTTGCACATCATATGTTTTTAAGAGGATTTTGTTCTTAAATACTTTAAAATATTCCTTCTGTCACTGGAATTCAATCCTTTGTTTTCACTATAGAGTCTTTAAGAACCCTCCCCCTAATTATATGGTCAGTATATTATCCTATTTTCCATCTTGATAAATATTGGCAGTCAAAAACACTCCCCTATGTGAACTCCCCCAGCGAAAGCATCTGAGAAATCAAACCCGGCCAAGATTCATATCGCCATCTCCTTGGGTTCAGCCCACCCCGGATGGCTTTGAATACGAATATTCCAAAATAACTTCGATAAGTTCTTTATTTGACAAGTTCCCCACTGTGCCATTTGGGTCTACTTCCACTTCCAAGCTCTTCGTTTCGTGCAGGCCCTTTTTGTTGTGATGGGTAGGGGTGTGGGGCAAATGTTTGCTGTAAAATGTTGGGCCACGTATCCTGCAGCAATTCGTAAACTAATTCTACATACGTGCCCGTGTCAGCTATCACCCATCCGTTGCCCAACGCCCCTTCCCATTCCCTTCCCATTTCCTTCCCATTCCCTTCCTATTCCCTTCCCATTCCCTTCCCTTTTGGCTTCCCGCAGAGCGACCAAATCGTTACGTGCGTTGGGCCACGGTGGCGCCCTCTGTGGGCCGTGCGTCATGTTTTGATTGGCGTCATGTACAGCGACGGATTCGCTCCGGCTTTCCACACGAAGCGCAGGGATAAGGTGGATGCACGGAGAACAAATGCTAAAAGAGATTCCCCTAGCAGTTATTATTTTATGCATATGAGTTTCACTCTAAATTATGGTAATTTAACATGCTTTTTTAGAATTTGTATTCAAAGACTTATTATATTCAAGGGGTGTCCTAACATTAGTTAATATTCAGATGTCTAAAAATATACATCAAATTGACTTTACAAGGCATGGCATATAATATAAAATTATAATATTAACTTATTCTTATATTTTTGCAATTTATTTTGATCTGTTAATGGAATATTATGAAATTACCAACATATTAGATGGTATTATTCATTAGGCTTTGTTTGGATCGATCTTGCAGTGTGCGTGGCTTAGATTTGCTTTTTTCTGCTAATAAATAATTGCATTTTCACCTCAAGAACTCACTGACAGACGAGGCCCAAAGGGGCCCGAGTGCAAGGGCTGGGTGATTTTCTCCGAGGGTGACACAATTCAATTTGCGCGCGTTTCCGTTCCGACTGCAGGTGCCTGGGCGGTGTATTGCCAGTTTTTGTAATTCCATTTCTGATTTCATATTTTGCTGTCACTGGGAAATGATTCAATTTTGCAGATTTCTTTGGGTGGGCCAGGGGGTGGCGTTATTTGCATGCCGAGCATGTATCTATGTATCCGTTTTTTTCGGTCTGCGTGCCGTTATCAATCAAAAGCGAAATGCGAATTGTGCGCAAATTTGTTGCATACGCAGAAATATTTGCTATATTGCATGGCAATCAAAGCGCTGCATGATTGACAGGCGAAATGGAATATTTTTTGAGTGATATTTTGCAGCTGGAAATGCAGTGACCTGAAACATGTCAAAGTCTGTCTATCTCTCTCAATATCTGAGGCAAGCAATATGCAATAAAAATCCATCAGTTATTTGGAGTGTTAGTTCCTGCAAATCGATTTGCTGTCGGGGTCTACAGATTAGAGTTATATATTTTTAATTGCGATTCTAAGATCGGAAATTCCTATAATTGTTGAAGTGATTGTTACATTTTAAAACCATTTTACGGGTCTATAGTTTCCTCAGAAAAGTATCACTTTATTATGGAGGGACATAATAGCCTTCCGAATACCTTCCATCGAAACCCCAATAAACATAATAGCCCTGAGCTGATTTCCAGTAATAACCTTCGTTTTCGCCGACTCAATTACCAGAGAGGTTAATTGCACCAGTTTCGATTGCACAATCCATTGAGCAGGTAAGAATGTTACCTCGAGTAGAGACCTTGTCCATATTCTATGCAAATTCCCCGGACAAAGGAGCTGGCCACAAAGCAGTCGAGTCACTTAGG